GTCGGCGTGTATAATTGCAATCGCCGCTTGGCTGCCTGGCACACTGGCACTGCCTGGCTGCTCGGCACCGTTCTCATATCGCCACGCCGTGCCACGCCGTGCCACGTCGCTTTGTTCGGCCGTTCGCTCTTTCGGCTTCGGCCCGCCAGGACCGCCAGATCGGCCGCGTGTCTCCCGCGTCCCGCGCACGCAATGCCGCCGTCAGCCGCGTCGCTCCGTCTCTCTCGCTCCCCTGCGGGACGCCCCGCGAGTGCGACAGAGACACGAGGAGATTACTTTCGGAACGCGTTCTCGGAGACTTCAAGCATGGTGCCTGCGTGCCCGCCTGGGCCCGGCCTCACAAAGTTCAAATGAGTTGGCGCCGCGCGGCAGTCTCAGCGACTCCAGACTCTACAATGTTCGCGACAAGCGCGACGACGACGACGACGTGACGTGCCACATTTCCTCTTTATCAAAAAGAAGGCATTGAAAATCAAAACAATTTTAATTCGACGCGACGTCGCAGCCCGAAACTTGGCAGGGAGGGGGGGGGGACGTGAATGTCACAACAGCGTCGCGAGAGGAGTGGGGGAAGGGGGTGGGCGGGCCCCTTCGCTGCGCCGCGGCCTGGGTCGGGCTACCAGTCTCCAGGTTGGCACATGACCAGGACTAACGAGATTTCTCAGTTTGGGTAAATATGGGGTGGTGGGTGGTTTGGGCGGCCATAAATTCAGAAGATTGGAGAAGTTGGAAAACTGTCTCCCTAACGCAAAACAAAAACATAGAAAACCGTAAAAATTACCCGTGAACCCGCGCGCGCGCCGTAGCAAATTTTTCTTTTGTTACCAGGGCGGCCCCGTCGCGCCAAGGGGCGGCTGCAGGGGGTGACTTTGCGTGACTCAAGTGTTGCCACTGCTCAATGCTCCTGACCTGGATGACAACAATCTGGTGCCGCGACGGCGCTGTGCCGCGCGGGGCGGCGGGGCGCAACCTTGAGCCCCTCTCCATCGCGATCATTACCAGCATGACCAGCTCGGCCGGCACTCCCCCGCCCCGCCCCGCCCCGCCACAGGCACGCGAGGTGGGGGTCAGGAAGGGGAGGAAGGAGGAGAGCCGCCGTGGCCGCGCCGCGACTCACTCCATGTTTGCAAAGGAGCTCAAGTGCAGTGGGTTTGTGGGTCAGGGAGACGCGACAGCGGGGCGGGGCGGGGCGGGCAAGTCGGCGGGCAAGCGTAACGCCATGTAACGCGACGGTTACTCGTCGGAAACGCGGCGGCAGTATGACGTGGCGACGTGGTGTCTGCGATTTTTTCGTCACGGCGCATTGGACTATGTTTGCTCCACGCACCGTTTCGTCGCACCCTTGTTTCTGTCGCAGCCGCACGGAACGCCCCACAAGTAGTGCGACAAGGGTAAAAGCGGCGAGACCACCTCCGGATTATTTTTCGGCAGAAATATCCAAATTAATAAACAACGACAAGAACAACAAAGACGAAAACCCTTGGCCCCGCCCCCAGCCACCCCACCCCCCACCCGAGAGCAGCGCGCACCCCGGCAGCCTCGGGCAGCGCGAAGGGAGGGGGAGGGGGTTGTTTGCGGTGCACTAGCTCGAGTGCCTGCTCCACCTGCTCCTTGACCCGGCCGCGCCCTGCCCGTCGCCCCGCCGCCCCGCCGTCGCGCTGCCCATTTTCTGCTCCACTTGGCAGTGTAGCAGCCTCGGCTCGGCCACTCGGCGGCGATTCATGAGGAAATGCGCCTTGCCTTCCGAAAGGTTTCAAAACGGACAAAACGACGTCGGCCCACGGCGGGCTGGCCGGGCCAGGGAGAAGGAGAGGGCGTAGCCGAGAAAGGGCTTCCCTCGCCTCGATCCCCCCCCTCCCCCCTCCCCCATGCGTCACGGATCGTAATAAAGCGTTACTAAGGCGAGTGGACGCCACCGGTATAATGGCGTCCGCATCACTCCACCACACAGTAACGCCGCCACACTGTAACGCCGCCACGCCGTGACGCCGTGACGAGCGGCGCCACACTGTGGCCTGGTGCGACGCGGCACCACGGCCCGGCCGCCCCGACTTCGAAATCGCGCGACAAACGGAAAGATACCCACCGCGCGGCAAGATTCTGGGACTCTATGGGCGGTTCGGAGAGGCGATGCAGCGGCGGCAGCACCGTCGACGTCCTCGACGCGTCGCTGTCGCCTCTCTTCCAGTGCACCGCTTGTCTAATCTCGCCGCGCGTCACCGCCCCACTTGCATTATTGCCACCCATTGAGTAGGGCGATGTGGGTTCGGTGGTTCGATACCCCGCCGCGCCGCGGGCGATAAGCTTTTTGGCGCTGTCATACAGTCTGTCATACGGCCTGTCATGCCGCACCGCCGGCCGGCCGGAGCGAAAGTGTCGCATTACACGCGCGGCTCCGGAGCCCGGCCGGCTTGGGTGGCACGGCGTGGCGTGGCGTGGCGCTGCACTGTAGGTACGTATACGAGCGCGACGGACGGTGACGCAAGTTTATAGATTTGAGCCGAGTTCCACCACTCTGATGACACGGGTGCCCGATGGAGCCCGGCGGTGCCCGTGGTGCCCATGGTGGCCGACGATGGGTACCAGGGCTACCCGGGCCACTTTCACTCTCCACCCCAAAGCCCTGCGCCGAGCGCGCCGTGCGGTCGGAGGGCATTCTTTCCCATGTGTCATGCCGACCAGGCCGGCCAGGCCAGCCGGGAGTACACTGTCAAGCTGTCAGAGCGAGCGCTTGTGAGTGTGTGTGTGCCCACGGTCTAGCTCGCGACGACGGGCATCGTGGGCAGGCCGTCCCGGATGAAGCACGCTGATTCAGTAGCCGTTGCGCTGTCTCTCTCGCGCGCAAACGTGATGCCCTGTGAGTGCGAGAGAGACAGAGCGACTGTGTGCGGGACTGCCTGCCCACAAGGCGCGCGCCTCCCCCATGACCACCCCGTCGACGAAGTCGCTCTCATTGTTCACTGGGCGGGCTTTCACGCAGCACAGCCGCCCGGTGCCCCGAAAGTGCGTTAGTTCGCACCGCGGGCAGCAAAGTGTGACACACTTCGCTTGGGGCGTGTATGGTTACGCCCATGTGGCGAAAGCCTCTTGGCCGGGTCGGCTGATACAAACTCTCTTTCTGCCGCATGCGAAAACCGACCGGCCGTCCGGAATACGCCCGCTTCGCCGCCGAACTGCAGTTGGATAGTTCTAAAAGCGATGCCAACAGCCAAACCAACGGACGGACGGACAAACCTAAAACCAACTGACTGAGGTGGGGCAGTTGCTCGACCGTCCTAATCTCGCCCAGCACTTCGTGCAGGACTTCCTCCGGGACCATCCGGTCCGGGAAAGACTATCCAGGGATCCAGGGCCGCCCCTTTCACTCCGCGACCTTGTAGTTGCGGTGAAACAAGAAACAAAAACACCAAAAAACTCGGTTAGTCTCTTCTTTTTGTTTCCGTCAAGGCCGCGGCGGCGCGGCGAGCCTGCGCGCGGATTGCGGCTGCGTCCGTCATTTCACCGCTCTGTCTCTCTCGCTCCCGCACGGAGCGCCCCATGCGTGCGAGAGAGACAGCGCGACACGGCGTGGGCGGGACGAGCTCGGCGACGAGCCCATTTGCATCCCAAAGTTGGCCACACTGCCACTTTGTCTGGCGGCGCCGCGGGGCCTGCACTGTGACTGCATGCCCACTGGCATGCCCACTGGCCGTTGGCCGGCCGGCGACAAGCACGCCGATTACGCCAGAGGCCGGCGGCACCGCGGACACGTTCGGCACGCCGGCCGAATTCGGACCGGCACGGCACGGCGGACTCCCACCGGAATACACGGCGCTCAATGGGACAATCGAAAGCCTTCCCCGCCCCCCGCCCGGCCCCTCGCAGTGAGACGAGTTCAAGTGCCACGGGACGGGGCGACGGCTGCAGCAGGTGCACTGCGCATAACCAACGACCCAGCGGACCGCGCTCACCGCGTTGTTCGTTGTTGCCGCGCTTGCCCGGGGCAGAGGGCGTGGCCGCGTGGCCGCGTGGCGGGGTTTACATTTTGCAAGAGCGGCCGCCGGCCCTACGCAACGCGCCGGCCGGACTAAGGCCCGGCCCAGCCCGCCCAGCCCGCCTGCCGGATGACACCGTCCGTCCGGGGCACGGCGGGCACGGCGCGGGGCAGCGCGGTCCCTCTCGCACACCGACGGGACGCCACCGCGGTCCACGAGTGCGAGAGAGACACTCGCACTCGGCATCAGAGAGCCAGCAGGCCACCCGGACACCCCCGCCCCGTGGGCCCGTGGGCACGTCGCCGACAGGCAACGCAACACCGTCTGGAAGCCGCCGGCTGGCTGCGGAGCGTGGACAAGCTGCCCGTCATCCCGGACCGCGTTTTGTTTCCCCGAAAGAGAGCCTGGGTCGGGCTTGAACCCGGGGCCCTTCCGTGCGCCGCATTGGCCCGCGCTGGCCCTTGGGGCACGCAGCAGCAGCACGCAGGTCGGGGGGAGTTCCCTGCCCGCTGATGAATCATTCATCCCCGGCGTCGTGAGCGCCATGCTAAAGGTCTGCGTCGCTCTGTCTCTCTCGCGCTCGTGGGCGTTCCACGGCGTTCCGCGGCGTCCCGCGCGGGGGTGCGAGAGAGACAGCGCGCGGAGCACGAATGTTGTTCAGCTTGCTGCCCTCTTGCGGCCGAATCAGGCGCCAGCCATGCGCCCGCGCCGTGACGTTCGAAGTTCGAACTGCGATCTGGAAATGTCGAGACGCCGGGACGCCAAATGTGCCGGGACGCCAAATGTGAGCGAGGGCGCGAGCGGCGAGAGCGTTGCACTGCGGGCAGCGCGCACTTACAGCGTAATGACACAAAACATGCCACATTACCCCGCGGGCGATGGGAACGGTGTGTGCTTGGGAAAGGGCGGATGGGGCGGCGCGCAGCGCAGTGGGTATCGCATTCGCCTTTGGGGAGGCAGGTCGCGGGTTCGAATCCCCCCAAAGGGAGCGTCGCTAAGCTGTAAGCGGCAAGCCAGGAGCCTTACCGGAGTCCACAATGAGCTCCAGGACGCGGTCGTCCCCGAGGTCCACGTCGACGTCCGCCAGGTCGCCCTGGTCGTGCTCGGCCTGGCTGTGGTCGCCTGCAACAAACACAGAGGGTCACGTCCGTGGAAACCCTCGTGATGCTGGCGGTGGTCGCGGAGGCCACGGCGGCGCACCCCGGCGCCCACAGGGGCGCCACCACGGCACCAACCAGGGTGCACGACGCACACGCAGGGCGGCGCACCGCGCGCACCGCAGCCCAAAAGCGCAGCGAACCGCACGCGCACAAACCGCAGTGGCGAGGCGCCGTTGCGACACCTTGTCGGCCCGCGCACTCATTCCGAGAGTCGTTTGCGTCGCTCTGTCTCTCTCGCACTCACGGACGCCCGGTAAATCATGCATTTCGATTGGTTGTTTCGATCGCGTCCCTCTCGTCAAGTCACTTCCAGTCAATCTCAGTCACTCCCAGTCACTCCCAGTCACGATGTCCGTCAATAATTAGCGACGTGATGACACGCGCGATGACACGGCACGCAACGCCGGCCGAGGGGCCACACGCGTTGCACAACCCGGGCCGCCCCGCCCCGCCCCCCGCGAGGCGACGACGCGCCCGAACCGCGCCAGACGCGCGCTGTTTTAATTGGCAGCCCTCGTCACCTCGCCTCCATTGGCGGACCGGGTCGGGCAACCTTGTTGCGGTACATGTAGTTTGCCTAAGCCACACACCGCGGGGCGGGGCGGCGCGGGCATGCCGGCCAGTTCATTAGGTTCCAGTTTGAGCGCGGATTGGAAATAGCCTTTACACGACCATTTCTTTCTCGCGCGCCCCTGGAGTGGCACTGATGGCTTCTCGTGGGCGCGCGACAGAGACGGGCCGACGACGCCCGGATCGGAGACCAGCCCTCCCCGACGAAACTTGGCCGGGCGGTCCCCGCGGGCCGTGCACAGTGGCGCGGGGGCGGGGGCTATCGCGCGCACTGACTGCGAGCCCCGCGGGGGGTGCTGAGAGGAAGGGAGGGGGCGACCCTATCCGAACATTTACTGGAAATAGTTCAAGGACCAAGCAGCAGTAGTGGCAGTACTAGTGGACACGAGTTCCCACATGCTGGCCGCTAGCTGCCGACACACACACACACACACACACGCCGCGCCCACCGCGCCTTGCTTCTCCGCGCAGCTAGTTGTTTATGGTGGCAATACAAAGTGATGCCACATTGTTCTGGCGCTGGGTCGTGAGACACGCCCGCCGCCCCGCCCCGCCCCGCCCCGCCCCGCCACGTCATGCCGATCCGAGTTGACTATGGCCCGAAGCGCCGCCATTTGTAAACGCCATTGATCAAGTGGCCGCTATGCACATGAGCCGTTGCACATGCACGCGCGAACACACACACACACACACTCACAAACACACACACACACACACACACACACACACACGCAAAAATAGCGTTAGATCGCGTCCAAAGCGAACGGCAAAGGGTCGGTGCGCCTGTAAGTGAGCCGAACGAAGCGAGAGTGTCCTCGGCGTGTCAAAGGATAAGGTTTGCCCCCGGTCGTCTGGTCGTTTTCCAGTTGTTGGACTCCGTGGTGCCGGCCGTGGTGCGGCGCTGCTGGCGCTGCGGGCGCGGCGGCGCGCCGTCCTTGACTCGTATTCCCCAACGGTGCGGCACGCCGCAGCGGGCTGGGGCGGCCGGGGCGGCCGGGGCGGGGAAGGCACCTGGACAAAGTATCTAAAGGGGGACTGGCTGCGAGGGCTGTCTCAGCGTGCCGAGGCCCGACTGCATGCACCATTGTCAATGGCCCGCCCGACCCTTCTCAAGACGAGCCTGACACAGGTCCGACCAATCGGCTCTACTTCGGCTCCGGTTCGGGCGTCTTCGGGTCCGACCGCTCCAGGCAGCCGCCGACCGCGTGGCCGAAGGAGCCTCCGAAGGCGAGACAGGCGACCCCGAAGACGCCTTCGGGTCGGACCATCTATCCATCTATCTGGCGGCGGCGTGGATGGCACATTTATGGTAGGGTCGACCCTCCGAGGCTTGCCTCGCTGAAACACAACCAAACCTTACCGCGCTTCCAGTCCCCCTTTAGATAATTTGTCCAGGGGAAGGCACGCCGCGGAGCCGCAGACTCCAGCCACTCCAGGCTCGCTACACTGCCGCACGTCAAGTCTCGAATCGGACACTCCGGCCAGACACTGCCGGACACAACTGTCAGACTTGAATTCACCCTCAATCAGACTCTGACTTAAGCCTTCAGAGCACTGCCGGACACAACTGTCAGACTTGAATTCACCCTCAATCAGACTCTGACTGAAGCCTTCAGAGCACTGCCGGACTCCAGTTGGAATGCAGCGAGGACTTGCGCCCACACTGCCACACTCGTAGTTTGTTCTTCTCAAAGCACAGCGACCCGAGTCTCGAACCAAAGTGCGGTGCGCGTTGCGCTTGCCGGCCAGGCCAGCCAGCCAGGCGGGCAGACGGGGCGCTTCTCCAAATGTATGTAAAATAACGTTCATCTCGCGCTGAAAGCTGTAAGCACCCCATGAACCACGCTCCAGCGCACGGCGCGGCACGACACGGCGTGGCACGACACGGCACGGCCAGGGCACGGTGCGGCACGGCACGGTGCGGCACGACTGCTCCTCATTATCATACAACCCCCAAGGTCGACCGAGCGGCGCGGCGAGGCACCGTGGGAGATTTCAAAGCGACGCCGCGAGCCGCGACGCGCCCTGGCCGTGCTCGAACCCTTTTCCCCCCTCCCCCTTCCCCCTGGCGCTCAAAATGCAATTACAAATTGCAAAGCGGCGCCACCTTTACATCGGGGCACCGATGGGGCGCCGCCTGGGCTGAAGCGGGGGGCGATTATGCAGCCATCAGGTGATTGGTGCGTTTTGTTGTTGTTGTTGTTGTTGTTGTTGTTGTTTTGTTAATGATGATGATGTTGATGACGATGATGTTATAGCTGACATTCGCTGGTGTTGAGTTACTTTTCTAGCTCTCCGAAATATTCGTAGATATTCATTCTCTGTTTCTTCATTTTCTCAAAATGAACACCGTCGTCTCGGGTACCTCCTCTCGCCTGCCCCCCTGGGTACTGGGTACCCCGCGCAACCGGTGCGCCGTCTCGGCCGCCGTGCCGGTGATCATTTGTCTTCATTTCGCCCCGGTGGAGCTGGCTGGCCGCCTGGCTGGCCGGCCCGACAGACACCTCAACATCAACGCCACGTTTTTCGACACAGCGTCGCGTTTCGGGGCGGGCTGGGCTGGCTGACCGGGCCGGCCGCTTGTCCGGGCCGGCCTGCTGGCGCTGCCTTTGCTCTGCCTTCCCCTGGATCTGGAAGGCGCGGCCGGTGGGGGCGGCGATGACGGGGACGCGGGGGGAGCAACAATACCCGTATCTGGCCCACATCTCGCCAGATCTGACGAGCGCCCCACTCCTTCAAGGCCACGGCGCTGTCGGGCCTCCGCTTCCAACAGTGAGCGTGCAGCGTTCCAGGCGGGCTCCAGGCGGGCTCCAGGTTGGACTGAGATTCAATCCCCTCCCCCTTCCCCCCGTCAAAGTGAGTGCATTGAATAGGAACGGCCCCGGCGCTGGAACCTGCCAGACCCTCCTGGAGTCCGCTGAACATCTCCGGAGCGTTCCGCGAGCGTTTCCCAAGGTCACGATGAGGCCGGCGATGAACAAACGTGCGGCGGTGACGAAACGGGCGAAAGGCCGAGAGGGGCGGCACGAAACGGCCAAACGGCGGCGGAGATGGAGAGATGACGAGATGATGATGAAGACCGAGGCGAAGAGGAGAGCGAGGAGAGAGAGGAGAGAGGAGAGGCGGCCAGTCGACGCTGGCAGCCAGCCTGCAGTGATGTGGCAATGGCGCGCCCCGCCTGGCCCCGCCGAGGGCAGCGAAGCGCGGCGCTGCGTTTAGTACGCACGGAATACGATCCGTTTGATTGGGTGAGGTGAGGGGGGGAGGGGGGAGGCACGGGCTAGCGCCCCCGCCCCCCACCACGCGACAACAATGCGAGCCGCGCGGCCTCGCCGAAGCGACAAATGAATGCAAACCAATGAGATTTTGGCGCGCAGCACTGCGCAGCACGCACTTCCCTCGGCCCTCCGCGCGCTCCGCGCTCCGCGCCCTCGGTGCTCGGTGCATATGCATTGCACCAGGCGGCCAGGCGTAAGCGTTGCCGGGCGGCCTATCATGACATGAGCAGCGCGGCGCCATGATCGCACCGGCTCCATGACTCCATGGCGGGCTGGCTGGCCCGGCTCGCCACGGCCCGGTCGGCCACCGCCACGCCGCGCCACGCCGCGGGATGAAATCTCCTCCCCCCTCCTCTCCCGCGCCCCGCCGCGCCCCCACCGCGCCTGTACGCTCTGTGAGCAAGTGGCACAAGGTGAGAGAAATCGCCTGAGGCAACGAGAGGCCCCACCGAGCCCCCCCGCCCCCTGCCCCGGTGCCCCCCACCACGGCGGGCCGACGGGCCGCACGGCACCCCGCAGCCCCGCGGCCCCGCAGCTGCAGCAGGAGCACACAAGGTCTCTGACAAGTTTATGTGCGCTTATGCAATCCCGGGCTGGAGAGGATGATGATACTCTGGGAGTGGGGCGCGCACCGCACCGCGGCCGTGCACCGGGGGGTTGGTGGCGGCGACCTGGCCGTCGACGCTTCTCGGGTGTGGCCGACGGAGACTTGCACGCGCGGCGCATCCTGGCGGTGCAGCGAGTGCATCGCGCAGCGCGTCCCAGGCCAAGCTGGCCGCGGTCCTGGCGGTGCAGCGAGTGCATCGCGCACGCGTCCCAGGCCAAGCTGGCCGCGGTCCTGGCGGGGCGCGACGAGGCCTCCAAGTCCCGGGCGCGGCGGCACGACGACGAAGGCACGACGCGCGGGATGAAAAACTAATTGGCACCTGCCACACTGTCGGCGGGGAAGGGTCCGCGGGTTAATGCAACACTCATGGCGGCCCTGCGACATGTCAACACGCGCATTCGCATTCGCGCAACGAGGCGGCCCGGGGCTTCGCCTTCGGGAGCTCTCGCGCTGAGCCGTCGCTTCTTCGCACCTCGCCGTCGGCCGGGCCGCGGTTTGCCTGGTTGC